GGGGAATGCGAGTGTCAGGCCATTTGCTGGGCTGACCCGTCCACGTAACCATTTTTTGATTTTTTCAACATTCAGCACACCCCTGGAGCACTAGTCGCCTGGATTGTCACAGGATTTTATAATAATAATGATAATACTAATAATGTATATTTCACGAAGCCCGTGAAGTATGCACAAGGCATGATCATATGTTCAAAATAAACATATGTACAACGAAAGTACAGGTATATAGATAGCCTACTTGAAAGACGTACATACTGGAGATGGTAGGGAAGCAGAACGAAAACGCTGTGTAAACGGAACACAAANGGTCACAAACGTAGGTGTAGAGGATGGAAAAATGTGCTGTATAAGTATATCAATCGAATTTGAAATAACTGTTAACCCGTTATCGAGGGGATTCGGCGTGCGGCTCTAATGGGCGAAAATACGAAGAGACAGAATGTAGGACAACAGACGGGGAAAATGGAGTCACAAGGATAAGGATAAATAAGGAGGAGTACAGCGAGTTCATACGTTTGCCGAGATGCGGACGCATGCAGACAAAACGTGCCGCCATTGACACACCTCAGTTTCTTCGTGGATGACAGCTAGCGGGTTGGCAATAAATGTGCTGAAGCGCGTCCTTACATTGTTAACATAATGGAGAATTATGACGAAATCAGTCCAGTAAGTTTCGGTCCATTTGATCGAGTGAAAACACCTTTTTAGCATTTTGCCACCTGTTAAGGCAGCTGATGCACCGTAGTTAAAACGAAAGGTTTTCTATTCTTCTTCTTTATTATTGTTTATTTCCTGTCGTTTTGTTTCTTTGCTGTTCGTAGCTTCCTGTTTGTTCAAACGTTCCAACATAATGTTTTCGACGTTCGACCCGGGACATATTGCTTGGTCAGCTCGCTTGAGCTCGGTGTACATTTTGTTCCATTGTCCTCTGCGTTCTGCTTGGGTGAGCATACATCCAAGTATGTTTTTTCCTGTTTTGTACAATTTATCATGCTGTGTTTTAGATACCGTATAAACGTCGTGGACTATCGACTATGTTCGTGTTTTCATTGCACGTTCTCGTCAGTTTCGGTTGACCTTTTTTATCGGGCCGAATATATTCGTTCCAGTTTGGGATTGATCGTCGGTATTGCGTGCAAAATTGTCCATTTTAGTTGAGGAGTGATTGCTAGTGCAAAGTTCAAACCCGTTTGGCTTAATTACGGTGTTGGTGTAATTTAATACGCGTATTGAACTTACGAGCTCAAGCAGACGAAACACCACCCTGACGGCTAATACTGCTGCGGCCAATTCTAGCCTGGGTATTGAGACTGCCTTTAGGGGNCGGCCTTCGCGAATAATATACTGCTATGCCACCTTCCGCCTGGCCAAGATGAGCAACTGCAGGCCACTACCCCGTATCCAACCTCCAACGCGTCCGCAAAAGCGTGTAACTCACTTGCCTCCCCTCGGCGTATTCCTGGTATGGGACAAAGATGCCGTATATCGCCCAGCGTGGACAGGCTCATTCACCAGTCTGGCCAGATCTTGTGATCCGCTTCGCATAGGGTCTTATCCCACAGATCCTGCAGCAGAATCTTGCCCGGCAGTAATCACGAAGCAACGAACCCCACCGGATCGCAAAGGCTGGCCAACGAAGACAGAATCCCTCTGCGA